AATAACAATGATGAAGAAAAATGAAAGGAGATTTTTGGGGTGAAGAAAATAGTAGGGAAGAATTTCTGTGGCGTGCACATTTGGCAGCTGAGTTATCTTTGAGACATGATGGTTCCCTGTAGAGCACATGCCAGCAAGCAAGCTGTTGGCATATTGCCTGCCGAGACCCAGCATGCTCTTGTTAAGCAACCACTGCTGACAAAGCATGGACCACAGACAGAGAGAGACACCCAGGAAGAGAGAGGATGAACGGTGAGCAGCAGGAAAGTGTGATTCCACAGGGTAAAAACTTGTTGAATCTCTGCACGACTGCATAGACCTAACAGAACTGCATTGAATAGACCTGTGCACCCCTTCACTGAGATTCAGCTTTCATCACAAGCTCTTTCTCCATCTCCACTTCTCTCTCCTCAGTTTCTAGGCCTGACTCCGTGCTCTTCTGACTTCTCACACTTATGCGGAGGTGAGAGGTGCAGATAAAAAGCAGAAGTAATTAGAGAAGCTTTGAGTGAGACTTTATGGCTGTGAGAGGCTTTGAGCTTTTTCTCTCACTCCTCCCCTTAATTCCCTTTGTTCTTTCATTATTTTCCCCAGTGAGCCTGAGTGCTGCAAACTGCATCCTGCCCACATGTGTCATGTCTACTCAGGAGAGTAGAGAGGCGAATAGTTAAAATACATCCATGCTTAAGAGACACACACACACACACACACNACACACACACACACACACACACACACACACACACACACACACACACACCCTTTCTCTAACGATGTTTTTGCTCGAGTATTAGGTAGATAAACACGTTTCTCCTCCACCCTGTATGATTAAATGGGACGTGTAGGGATGGATTCCGGATATCCTCCCTAATTTAAGCATGAGCTCATGGTGCAGCGCAATGTCATCCTGTGTCCAAGCATCAGCCTCTAGAGCAATAACACTGTCGGTTAAAACATCTGCGGAGGAAAATACATGCAGACATGAAGTGAGAGGAAAAAAAATTATGTGAGAGAGGAAAGGCTAAGAAGATCACAGGCTAAATGAGTAAGACAACTTCCAGACAAACACAGAGAGATCGCAATATAGATAGAGGGACCTGTCTGATGGAGGAGGGTTCATCAGTGCAATCGCTCGCACACACATGCAGAGACTTACACAACTTGGGAACATAGACAAGTTTAAATCTTGCTATTAGATAAGTTTACTTTTGTGTGACCCACTCAAGATTATCCTGAGTGAAGAACGCAAGGAATTTTCACCAGTTTAATTTGACGTGTCTTCTGAACAGCAAGGCTTTATGCTGGGTATCATTGTGAGTCTCTGCCTTCAGGGGAACACTGGAGGGTTGGGGCACAAACAGCAACAGGCTTAATCTGGGAGGCTGCCATTTCCCAATGGTCAGGAAGAGACAGTTGGTTGTATTCAACCACCTGCGAGACCCAAGGGAGACAGTCACAGGGGAAGATGCACCATTGAGCTACAAAGTCTGAGTCTTATTTCTTGGTCTTTCTTTACCAAAGCCCACTTCTTTGATCTTCATCTTTCTGCAGCATGGCATTAACTGCAAACACCCTGAAGTATTCCTTCACCACAGGTGGTAGTATTGTCTGTATTGTCTCTTTGCATATGCTCATCCCCATGCTGTCTCCCAGGACAGGGGGGTCTAGAGAGTTCTTAGATGATGACACAAGGACCAGCTTATTATATCACCTCAGTGAGAAAAGTACGATCTTTGCCTCAGTCTCTTTCTCTATTTGTCTCACTTTCTCTCTTGTGTAGTCCTTGTCCATTCATTGAAGGACACCATTAGTTTTAAATGCAAGGCACTTTCATTGATGATAGAGTGCTATCCAGGGCAGGAGAATACATTCCCCTGAAAAGCATTTGTCAACTCTTGTGAGGACAACTTGAGCCTTGAGGTGGTCACGGTGACTTACAAGGGTGGTAAATACTGTGCATGCTCACATGTCTTTGGTACACATATACAACCATCAAGATGCACATGTACTAAACACTCAAATGCCAGCATTACAGACACATGAACACACACACACACACACACTTACAACTAACCCACACAAACACAGATGTCATGGCCTTTAGCAGTGGCCCACGTCCCGTCATATCAGTGACACTGGTAATCAAAAGTGTCAGCATTTTCTTGACATCTGCTTCCCAGTAGTGTGACCATATACCCAGATAATTTCTCCCTTGCTCATCATCTCCACCTGTCTACCACACACACACACACACACATTGGACTGCCTGTGCAGCAATTTGCCAGCAGACGACGGCTGTATATTGGAATGAATAAGTAAGCTTGCTGTAACTGACTAAAGTTCTGCCTCTAACTTGATGATTCTACCATTTAATACAGTAACATTGGTAAACAAACATGAACATATCCTAGTAGGCATTGGACAATCCATCTGTTAACCTCTCTCTCAGCCAATTAGGAGGCCTCAGAAAGGTGGCCATCCAGTCAGATTGCACCAGATCTGATTGGCTATCGCATTGTGACAGGCCAAAGCCCTTGATAACAGCTTTAAGATGGCCAATCTTAGCCTGGCCCATCTTAGACTGGGTTCTGTCGTTGACACCTACCCACCATTATGCCCCAACACTCATTACCTATCAACAATGGCATGGATTAGGAGAGTCTATGAGGGACCAAGGGTGAGGGAGGGGTTGGCCTGGGTGTATCTGAAAGTATATTTAGAAAAGGTTGAATGGTAGAAAGAGATACTGAGCAGGAAGGAGGTTGTTACATAAAACAAGGAGCCTGCCTGCAGGGTTTAAAGTGTGACAGAAGAAGATGACAGCAATTTCTGGAGAATCTCAAAGGCTAATCGGTTCAGTTTTCCTCGAATGCTTTTGTATTACAGTATAAATTTCAACCTATTAATTTGCATTCATAGTGTCAGAAACAAAACAAGACTGAATTCATAAATGCAGTCTGTATATATGGGGTCATATTCATGACAACTCCCACACATGACAAAGCACATCAAGACCTTAAGGGTTGTCAGAACAGAGGAAGGCCAAAGAAAACACACACAGGCACAAATTAATGTTCTGGGGATGTGCTTTTAGCTAAATCTATGCAATAAGCAAAAGTGATTCTGAGTTACAACAATAAAAGCCTCATGACATAAAGGGAACACACATACAAGCCTGTAAAATGTTCAATACGGCCACACCATGAAGGAATTATCTTACAAAATCTGCAGATTAACAGCAGAACAGTGCAGCTTGTATCTTGAAGATAAGTGGCTTGATACGGAACTGCATGTGGTGCAATTAGATGGAAACAATATAAACTGTAAGGGGCAGGAGAAGAGAGCTACCCACAAACAATTTCCCACCATCCAGTGTGTGAATAACAGTACCAATGGTATCAGCCAAAATCATATTCTCATTACTTCATGTGGTATGAGCCACTTGCTACTTCACATTCCACCCAAGGCACTCAGACAGCACAGAGACTGTCCTTAGATGGCCTTGCAAATTGAGGGCTAGTGACATCATTATTTTCGGCACTACCATAGCCCAGTTTCTATTGTTATTCCATTGTTATTTTCCATCTTGACCTTTTCTGGATATGTGGAACACCTGATCTTCATTCTCCAGACACACTCAGACATGAGGTAAGGAGGGAAAGATCTTAATAATGACGCAGAGGTCCAATACCAGAAACACTGTTTAAACACAGTTACTTATATTCACGTAACCCGCTTGTGAAACGGCTGTAAGAGAGACTTCTTTCCCTAACAATGTTTACGCCTACATAGTTTTGAAGGAACTAAAATGTCATATTTATTTCTATTCTACTACAAGGAACATTTCCTTACATTAATATATCCAGTTATTATGTCATTTACAAGTTAGCAATAACAATATTAATTTACATGACAACAAGGTCTGGAAATACAAAATTCGCCCTGAACAGTTTTTTTTTATCACACTGTGTTTTCACATATGATGAGACTTCTTCATATTGGTCTGCCAGTCCAGTAGTGTTCTTGCATCCATCATAAAATAAAACTTGGCCGACATACTAATTGCATAGTACTGATATTCCTGTGACACTAAAACCATCCAAAGCATGTTTCCAACTCTGTGGGATTGTGTTGGAGGTTCTGGGGAGGAAAAACGTGGTCTGTTTCGGAAATATTTTAATTTGAAAGACACTGCAATTACAATAGGAAGAGGGAGGACAAGCTTGGGCAACAAGTCAATTGCTTGATTCGGTTGGGTGTAGCACTGCTTTGGCAGGCGAGACCTTACTGAAACAAGCTACATATGTACAGAGGAGCTTCGTTTTTCTGGAACACAGACATCTGAACTGACCAGGCTACAATCAAAAAATATGTATATCCAAAAATAAATACCAAACCTTGCACCGATTGTTTGACCCTCTAGAAATACTGCATTTTTTTTCAATGGTTCCAATAATTGCTCTGCTGTCTTGAGAACAGGATCAGATAATGACAAAGCAGACCATCTTTCACCAAACACCAGAGGCTGAAAAAGGCCTCTATGCCCTCTTTTCCTGTCTACCCTCCGCCATCCCTCTCCACAGTTCCTTTGCTGCCAAACCCACAGAAGAAGGGAGGGGGAGTAAATGCATGCCCATTTTGTGAGTTGCACACTTGTCTGCCCACCAGCTACCATGGCCCTAAAGAAGTAAAACCCTTTTGACCAAATACTGGACAAATAAATATTCTTTGCAAGCCAGAAAATAAATACTAGGGTTTTTTGTTTTGTTTTTATTGCTACTGAAGTACAGGGTATGAGTTCAGTTTCAAGTGAGCAAGGAGCTGGGTCAAGTTAGGATTCTGTGGTGTCATTGCCATGCGGTGGTAGATACAGTAAACACCAGATAACTAAGAGACAAACCATGGAATCCCAACATCTCTTTCCACTCCATCAATAATCACCCAGTATTTCAGGCCAGGCCCATCCAACCCCAGCTTGGCCCCTCTGTGCTGGCTCTTACCCTGGAAGGCATCTGAGTGGCCGGAGATGAGATGTTTAAGCTCATAGCTGTAGGAGTGAATGTTGTGAAGGGTTTCTCGTTTTACAGCAAACTGGTAGCTCTCCTCCATTTTCCGGGTGCAGCACGATGGACCCTGGTGCTTGCAAATCAACAGATCCACATCTAGAAAGGCAGATAGGGACACATTTTCTTCAAGTCAGTGGTAACCCATAAAACATATCACATGCAGGAAATAGATGTGAAATACATCATCTATATACTGTATATACACACACACATGCATATATGTGTGTGTGTATATAAATATATAGACAGACAGGCCATAACTCAATTGGGAGACACAAGAGGCACCATGGGAGGGTGAGAAAGTAGAGCAAGAATTCATCCACGTTTCCTGCTATAAATACTGTCTGTGCTATATATATAAATATCTTCTGGCTCAGACAATTGTACACATGTCGTCAAAACATATATTTCTACATGTATTTACACTCCATGCTGCATGGAAAAACACAAAAACATGTGAATGTGAAAATTCAAAACTTGCTGTCCTTCACACATGCATTTTCATCCACACACATCCGCAGTAATTTGTGTGAAATCATCTCTTCAGCTCGACAGTCATTAGCAATAACACAGCAGTTCATAATGACCACATGAAGGCAGTGACCTAACTGCAAATACTATGATCCAAAGAACATCTCAATCAGGCACAATTACATCAGCTGAAACAGAGTCCACCCTGTCCTGCCAGCGTCACCTGCTTCTCACCATCACCGCATATAGAAACACTGTCATGACATCACAGAGACTGGTCACTATTAGCATGAGCTATTAAAACTGTCCTTTCCATGTATTTCCTTGTACAAATTCACATGTACAGGGGCATTTCCACAATGCAGAAGTGTGATATGATAACTCATTTTACAGGGGGAAGGGCTGAATGGGGTGGTTGGAGGCAGGTGTTGTAACCAGAGCCTAAAGCATGGCCTTAGGACAGACTGCAAGACCAGTGCCTCACTGTCCAAATCCCTCCATGAAACACAATAGGGTTGCATTCTCAATCCCTCTTTCCCTTTCTGCCTCCTCTCTCCCATTTGCCTGGCATATCCTACTGAGGCCTGGGTGTCTCTTAATTACCCAGCGAGGCTCCATTTGTTCCCATCCCAGAGCCAGACAAGTGAAGTCATAACTGGCTGTCCTGCCCCTTCCAGCTCATTACCTCTATCTCTGTTAACACTCTGATCTTTTATCTACAAAGTCTCAGCAAAATCATATGCTAAACCTTTTTACAACACTTGATTTTACATTGCTACTTTCTAACACACCTTTTTTTTTATTACTGTGATATGGGAATCCCAATCTGTTTCATCAGTAGGGAAAAAACAAAAATGTGTTTGTGAGTTCTGATTTTATGGTCCAGGTTATCAGGACACAATATGCAGTACTGACTATAAAGTATACTGCTTGTCTGCAATAACTAACCATATAATCCTTGAATATAAGCTACCGTATGTCCAACAAAGCATACTTTAGATTTCCAAAAACCATGATGTGAATTTCTCAACAACTATCAGCGTCTTCACACAGGTGGGACGTCATAATTGTGGAGATCAATCAAGCTGATTTATTGATCATTTGACCCATGACAACAAGTCCAACCAGCAGTTTTTGGTCTAAATATGAAACTCAAGTGTATGTAGTATAGTTTTAGTGGCATTCCTTACAACCCTTCGAAGCAATCGAAGTTGTCCCATTTCAAAATATTGATTGACTTTTGAAAGCAAGATAAACAGTTTTAGTTCTGCTTTAGGTTGTCCTATGTCCATATTTGGTGACTGTCCTCTCTCCTCTTCTGCCCCTGACCCTGTTCACTTCACTGGCAGGCTCGTTCTCTCCTTTGTGTTCGTGTGTTATCTGTGATATGAAACTAATATCCAGGGACTCACAGTGGAATCCAGCCTAGCTCACCGTCCCTTGCGAGTAGCTGCATGGAGTACGTAAGTGATACTCAGAAATACTTTGGCTGTTAAAGCCACCACAGCAGTCAGGACAGTCTGCCTGTGTCACGAATATACCAGGCCACCTTCTCGAATCATTAGAAGCCATGTCACTGCTTCTCTGTCCAACAGCAAAGGAACTGATGAGTCTGTTCTTTTTATGTTTTATAATATTTTACTTACAGGGTATTAATAAACTGCTATTCAGTGGCTTCTTCCTTAAGGGTAAAATAAAGTTTATGTTAAGGACATACTGTCACTATTAATATCTGTCTGCCTTCCCTTTGAGTAATGTCTATTGTTCAACTATACTCCCATTCTATACAACAACTACAAACCTACAAATGATTTTGACATCCCAATCAACTTTGTCAGTCTATATCATTTAATCAAATAAAGCATTGGATTGTAAAGGTGGTTCTTAAAGTCACTGTAATGTCTCATAAAACAAAACATCTACAAATGTTACATTTTGCATTGATTCTTACCCAAACTTGGTGGGCAAAAATAAGAGTCTTGAACATCATGATAATTTCTCTACATGAAAAATACTGAGACTCTGTGATGATGACCATCACACACAAACAATCAAATCTGTCATTTTTGGTAAGATGATTGGAATATTTCTGACGTGACTACACAGACATTTTTGAATTGTTCATGCAAGGGTTTGGCTCTATTTGGGCTTGATGTCATCAGATTTAACTTCAGCTCTCCTCTTTGCAAATCTTCCATAAACCTGTACCTGGTAAAGCACTTAGGTCTTTGTATGCACCATCTCTTCAGCTTTGAGTATGTAAGTACTTCACAGTAGCTTACTGGCTTCCCCCACAGGCCACTTCTGTCTCATACTTTTAATTCATTTCATTTTCTTTAGTTTGGTCTGTCTGTGCTTTGACCTCGCAAAGATTGTCTGCTATCCTTTCTACAAAAGGAATTTTCAGTAACCTTCGCAATGACTGGATTCAACTTTTAACAATGACTAGTTAAAAGTTGAATCCAGCCAGTTGTGGAGGTAATGGACACTTAGCAGCAGAATATGATAATACAGTTTGTTGGACTGCAGTATGATATACAGCATTAGCCATGGTCATTTTGTTTTACAATTTTCTAATTTCTCATGAACTGTAAATGCTATTTTGTCTAGTCTTCTGATTTTACTCTCTCAACTCTAGAATATAACTCAATACCATTGATTCCAACAGACCAAGAATACTGAACTCTACTGGTTCTTTTGTAATTAGTACCACTATACATGCTACTCATTCTGCCAGGTTAAAGCTTAACTTTGCTCTCCAGAGTAGATGTCAACTCTGAATCCCAATTCCCTTAATTGTTCTCAGATGACAAATTCCTCTGGAGTATTTTTCTATATTAAAGTCATGGCTCAGGGGTCTTGACTTGTTTGTCTCAATCCCTTCAGCAACACCTCAGTGCCCTTCAATGCACAGGTCAAAACCCCTGAATGGAGAAACTCTATCGCTGTATAACTGCCATGCTAACTCACACGTCATTCACTATATTTGTTTCTGCAGTAGGCAGGAGTGTGTTGCACTGACGCCTCACAGCAAAAAGTTCCCGGGTTTTAACCTACTGGCTGATCAGGCCTTTCTGAAATGTGGGTGAACCCCACCTCTCCCCCATTGTCAACTGGGATTGGTTCCAGCCCCCTTGTGACCCTCAAAGGAGGACTCAAGAAATGATTTAGATGCAGCTCACATCTCCCCATAAGGTATGAACATTTTTATTTTATTTTTAATGCCTTGATGACTAGGAGGGTTGCAGTTTCCTGATGCTCCTGCTTTTGCTGTTTTTCATATTTTTTTATTTGAGAACAAGAATAACTTTGTCAGAAACTAAGCAATTAATGCATTTACTCTTCTCCTGCCTCAGGAAGCCAGAGCCTTTGAAGCTCTGAGATCCACTGAACATACAGGATATTTACTCTATACAGATTTGCTGTGCTTTGGATGGACCACATTGAATGAAAACACAACTCAAAGGGTCTTTGCTGCGTGCCTGCTTTTTTGGACAACCTTGAAACGGGATGTTTAGCTTTCCCAGACCCAGGAGCAGAGTGATTGGCATTGAGTCAAAAGCCAGACCACAAGGCAGGTGCTGGTCAGACAGATCTTAAAGAGAAAAGTGAGAGGCTGGGCAGATAGATGCACACCTGTTGAAGCAGCATTATATCAGATGGGTGCTCAACCACAATCTGGCAGAGCAATCATGTTACCATTTAAGATAAACTATTCCAAACTGCTTCTCAGACACCACATCTTCTCTCATGTACTGTTTCTATTCCTAGAGCATTAGATGGTTCATCTTTTCTAGATGCTTGAATCATTGGAGAGTGAGAGGATAGACTTGGCAGTCTGCTAACCTCATAAAATCGCATCTGACAAAATAAAATTAAAGACAAGATAGACTTACAGACTGAAATTCAATAACATAGAGGGTAATCGGCTTCTTTAGTGCTCCTCAGTTCATCTATACTGTCTCTTGTTACTTTAATACATTGTGTCTTTTTCAAATGGTTCCAATTTTAAAAAAGTCACTCCAGAAGTTCACATGTGAATTTTACATTAGATTGAGGTGGGTGTTTGAGAGATGGCCAGGAAAAGAAATCACAGATGCTTAATGATTTTGAGTGTGCATGGAGTAGGTGTTTGCACCGTGTGTATCTCAGTGACAAAGGCCAACTTAAATCAGGGACTCAAAATAACCATCGCCAATCAAAGACCATGTTAAGCTTTGAGAGCTTGCCAAGGCTTTTGACGGTGCAACTGGTTAAGGATGTGGTGACACATGGTAACGCACTCCCTTGCTATTAACACATGACCCTGCTTGCCTTTTATAAAAGATATAAGACACTTTCTCTATCACTCTTAAATAGCTGTTAATGACTCAGTAAATCAGAGGATGGCAGTAAAGCAGTGAGATGAAAAAAGGTGTTGTGTGTGTGTATGGTGTGGTATGTATAATCAGATAAGCTCTGCTCAATCAGATCTTTTTACTGAGCTGTTAAATGGGTTGATCATATCTGAGGGGATGTTATCCAAAAAGCCGACTGTGGAAGTAGTGAGTCTGCTTACAGTCTGCTATCCAAACGATCTATCTCCAGAGGGCTATATCAGCACCCTGTGGTAATCTCAATATTGAGCGTTTGGCTGAGTACCACAGCACCAAAGTGGTCATAACTCTTCAAAATAATCACAGGATAAGCAAAATCATGTCACTGATTATCTAAGTTCCTTTGATGCTGAATCTGGCCTGGAGAAACTGTCGCTCTTTATAAACTGTGGCACTGCAGGAAACAAACATTAAAGCAGTGCAAAGACAAGTGTTTGGTATTTGATTATCTACTACAAAGTTGCATTGGTAAAATACTCTTTTTAGAAATCACTGTACACAGCTGAGTGCTTACATTTGCAGAGTATTTATGCTTGACATTATAAGTTCCATGGGAGAGATATATACATGAAACTGAGTAATTGCGAGTTCTCCTCAAACACATGAGACTAGGAACCTGTTGATTATCATAAGGCACCAACTATGCTTTATTTGAAAAACAGAATTATTAACAAAGAAAAAGTGCACAAAATATCAGTAATGTAAAAGTATAAATAGTTCAAATCGTTGCCAACTGGCCAGTTTATGAGTTCCCTGCTGCCACACTCCTGGAGGTTAGTGAGAAATCAGTTCACCACACATGAATGAAACGCAGCACTGTATCCTAATACAAACATTAGACTCTGAAAAGGGCTGAAGGTTTGCCACTTCAAATTTCGAGACTTGCTTTTGTTGGCAATTGATCTGAGAGCTGAAGCAGAGTAGCATAATTGTGTACACACACAAATGTATACACCAAATCTCCCGCTCTGACGCCCACTTCCATCGGTTGCTTTGATGACAAGATTGTGCCTGACCCAAAACAGCCCCTCTAGGATAAGTACAAATAAAAAGCAAAATAAAATAAAGGCTGGTGAATGTTTGATTAGCTGTGAAGGGAAAGAGCAGCAGAGAGGTGGTAGAGAGTAACTGCACAAACTAAACCTTTTACACAAATTATTTATGTCAATTAATAGTTCAGAACCAAGGTGCCACAGTCTGTATCTGGATTATGTTTGCATGATTTTCCAAAACTGTTATAGGGGGATGGTATGTCTCATGAATGGGAGGTTAAAGGTTGACAGGGCAAATTTGTTAAAGGGAAAGACCATCACGCCTCATTTATACTTGTGTGTATGCTTCTCTTTGCCCGCTCTTGGCTAACATGTTCATTAACAGCTGCAATCGCAGACTGAGATACTTATATGAAGCTTCTGCCAATGCATTGCTGACTAGCTTGTCACGCAAGCCTTGCTCCAGACTGCTGACATCCTCATAAGACCAAGGTCTCTCTGTTGTCTTTAAGAGCTGACCCTAAACTACAGCTTGTAATGAACCTGACATCCTCTGTTGCTAGTAGTGACATCCTGCTAAACAAACATATCAAGTGGTTTGGATGCACCTCTAGGTATGTTTCCCACTCAGCTATTGCTCTTCTCCGACCATGCAGACGCAGACTGGTGATACTTAAGCTGCCGCCGACCTGCATATGACACTCAGGATTGTGGTCTGTGGTCGTATGGATAGTTGTACATTGCATATCTACTAGTATTTAGGTATTCACAAGGAAAATCCCTCTTAGACACCCCCAAGATCAAAAGATTCCCAATAAATGAAAAGAAATATACAGTCACTATTAAAAGATTTGACTAAAAATAAAATGATGACCACTAAATAGCCTCATTTTTTCAGTTAAAATACACTGTATATGTAAACTGAAATAGCTCCGCAGAGAAGAACATGACAATGAGTTTAAACTGATGTGTCTTGCTTGCAGAAAAACTTTCAAGCAAAACTAACATAGTTGAACCAAAGCCTAAAGCCGCTCAAAATGTGTTTTGCCTCCAAAACAGATTTGGCACCAGTGTTTATCCTTATAACTTTTCCTCAGAGTGCAAAAAGAAATAACATACCACAAAACCTTCCAGGCATTTGAAGCTGCTTTCAAGCATCATTCTGACAAAAATCTGAGCAAAGACAGGGAAAATCTGGGGAGCCATGACGGCAGATTTGCCAAAAGACTCTGCCCTTCTGTGAGAGTCTCAACAATTTCAAAATTCTGTGGCCTAAAGTACATGTAGGAGGGCTCGCCGCCCCAAGGACACAGGGCCAAAAAGAGTTGGTGGTAAAATCAAATCTGCAGATTGCAAATCAATCACTCCCCCAAATTCTGGACACGTACTGTAGTCTCTTTATCCACACAGATTAAACCATATGGAAGCCCTGAGTCACACCAGACTTGCTCTATCTCTAAAACCCTGTCTCAGCAGCTTGTGAATGTGCTGGACCGCTTCACTGCCAAAAGAAATTTGCTAAATAATTGTTTAATCTCTCCAAACAGCCCACATATGATAAGCAGCTGGGTGGTATGTGAAGCTGCAAACATTGGAGAAAATCTACAGGCTCTGATGCTTTAAACCCGACAGATCAGATGGGAGCTGCACATTGGCTGACTTAAATGTGCAAAATTGCATACTGATTTATAGAGGCATGTTTTGGGGTAGAACTAAATATCAAGACGTTTCTGGAAAAAACATAGTAAGATGCACTTCACCTAAGATTATTTTATACATATATTACTTACTCATTATAACCAATAACATACACAGACAGATATTTAATGGTCACAATATTTAATCTTATCAACTTGCATGAATGATTTATCTTTTAGGAGACCATTCACAGTGCGCACCGATCCACATGCGCTTTTGGGAAGAAGAACTGAACGCACTGGATATGCATTAAAGTCGAGTCTAATAACAAAGATGTAGTCATAAAGTTATTTAACACATTCCTGGAACGTTTGCAAATGGCCACTGCTTAAATGACGAAGGGTGTAGTGTAAGTGTATTGCCTCTGTAGTGCGCCTCAGCCAAACGCACAGTCTCACCTGTGCCAGGTGTCTCCGGTACGCGGTGCAGCGGCCCGACCTGCCGCAGCTGGAACGCGGTCCGCACTTCATGGCAGCTGTACGCATCCACGTCGATCACATTCACGGCAAATATGAGCGCAGACAAAATCCAAACGGATCCGCAAGAGTTCACGCGTGGGCACATTCCTCGGGACATTGCCGCATCTCACACCAGGTAATCCGCGTGGATAGCCTCTACTGTAGCCTGGCTGCGAACTGCGTGACAGTGTGTTGAGTGTTGACGGCACTGGAGTACAATGAAGCCACGGTGAGTTTACGCATCTGATTTCCGTCTGATTCTCACATTATTGGTTGGGATGAGAGTGTGAACGTCTCACAGTTGGCTGGAGGTTTGGGGTCTTCTCTTGGACAAATGAAGGGTGGTGTGGACCCGAGCCAGTCCGCCCCGCGCTCAACACTTTGCAGTGGTCGATTCACTGCGCGTCTGTCTCCAAAGCCCTGCGCGCACACCCCTCCCTCTCTGTTTACATCAGCCAAGTGCCCCAACTACAACTCACTCTTAACATTTTAAATCCATAAAACTAAACCATTTCTCCTGGTTTTATCAGACCACTGGAAATGTTTCTTTATATATTTCACAAATAGAATTTGCATCAGAAAGTTTTGCAGAGTCCCTTTTTTTAATTCAACCACCAGTTTCAGGCCAACCTCTGTTACACTATTAAAAGTCAATGAGTCATGAAATCAAAACCTCATCTAAGTTTTTGCTTTTACTCGTCTCTGACACCCTCAAATTCCCATTTTAAAATCAGGCAGATAGTCACTGCTAATTAAGAGACAGACGATGTTTAAAAGAAAACAAGAATGTATCAAGTTAGTGAGCAAGGACTCTTTTAATCAAGACTGGGGATTATGAGTAAAATAATAGGCTAATATATGTCTATCTCCCCAAGACACACACACAAATAATTCCTACTGTGGACTTAATGGTGCTCCTGTATACATTTCATTTTGTTAAATACTACCCTCTCCTGGCCAAACTGTTGTAGTACAGCAATGATCAGCTGTCAGTTGGTTTAATCATGGAATCAAAATTGGGTTTTTTGCCAAGTAGGTTTAAACATACATCGAATTTGCTGTTGTGTGTTTGTGCAATTATTAAAATAGAAAAATAAAAATAGAAAATACTATACACAAATAAAAATTCAGCAAATAAAGAAATACGATTTTGTCTTCCACATAATTGTTCTATCTACTTCTACAAATTTGCTGTTTGAATAAAAGGTTATGGGTTGGGGGCAAGTTTATGATTTGGTGTAATACGCTGGCAGGTTTGATAGTGCTGTCCATTCCTTGTGGCCCTTTGAATAAAGCCAATGTTTATTTGTTTTAACCTTAAAGGTACAGTGTGTAGAATTTTGTGACATCTAGTGCTGAAATTGCATGTTGCAGCTGAACACCCCTCACCTCACCCTCTCCTTCCAAACAAGAAAAAGAACCTGTGGTAGCTTCAGTTGTCATGAAAACTCAAAAGGTGTTTAATCCAGTCTGGATGACAGTAAAAAGACATGGTGACCTCCATAGAGAGGGTCCCCTCGATGTAACTATTTAAGTATTTAAATATAAAGGGATTTTTTTTTCACTGGTTTTAGATTTAAGTGGTGTTTTATATATATACTCTGTAGAGTTGATCTGCTCCCAATGTAAAGATAAAGTATTTATATATAAAGGGCTCATTCTAGGGTAAAGATTTTTGCTAAAAGATCCCATATAGCCATTTTCAGACCTGAACTCCTAGAAAAAATATCAGAGAAAACTGGGTCCGGACTTTCTCTGGAGTCTGCCTTTCACATATTAAAAATGCAGCCACATTGTATGAGTATGACGCATTCACAACAAACAAAAAATGTTTAAAACATTCACAGAAGGCGTCTGGATAGAGAAGACGGCACCTGAGAATTTTCACATTGGCTCACTCAGAGATTTTGCAGAAATCTTCTGGGGGTCCTGGTTGAAAAAGTTCCAGAAAATATCAAGAGCAATTCACTTGGACATTTGCATTCTCACATACAGTCCTTCTGGAAAAATTCAGAAAGTTCAGTACATGTCTGAAAGTATTTTTGAACTAAACTAAACAGTTTAGCCTCAATGTGTAACACTATTATCAACATAAATACTGAGATACCTAATGTTCCCATGTGAATGAAGATGAGGATGTAGTAGAAAATATGAGTAGTGGTTCTGGAGAAGTTTGAAACCTAAGCCATTCACTTCTCTGTGGACTAATGGTAAGACCTGGACAACACTTGGTGTCTGAAGAAAGGCTGGTTAAGTTGTGTTAGTCAATCACCACCCGTGACATTATTAAAATAATTTGTTTGTAATTTAGCATCTTCAAAGGCTTTTTCTAGGTGACATGGAATTCTCCTTTGATGTAGACCCTTAGAGTGTGCCCCTGTAGGCAAGAGAACAAAGCAAGCAAGTGACAATAGCAGCTGCTGTTCATTCAGTGAACGTTCAGAAACTAAAAGTTGTCCGACCATGCCCAACCTCACCAAGAAGAATAAAGTAATAGCCTTTCGTGTTTATTGTTTATTGTGTGGATGACGAGATGCAAAATGTGATCCTAACCCGAAGCATAGGAACTATGTTATTGGCTCAGTGTATTTCAATTTAACAAATTTTTGGGTTTGACAAAGGTGTAATTGTCTGATATGATCTAATGTCAGCATAAGTAAGAAAACGTCTTCTAGGAGTGGCGAGCAGATTGTAGCTAGCTGAGTAGCAAGCCTGGGTGTTAGCATACTCAACATTAGCCAAGTTGCAGGCAGTCTGCAAGTATCATTACAACAATGACAGTGGTGATCTATGTTGGTGGTTGGTGTTCAAGCACAGCAGGGATTTGACACAAGCTGTTATAGATGGCGAATGCCATACAGTAAAACGTTTTAGCTACAGATCTAACGCACCTTCAATCTAATTCGAGACCATAGTAAACATTCCAAAGCTCGAGAAGTTAATGTTGTTGACATTATTAATCTAGCTACATGCCTTTACCAGGACCACAATTACACAGTGCCAACTCCATCTGCTGATTATTGGGCAAATTCCCATCCTATCCAAGATTATGAAGATATTGGCAATCTTAATCTCTTAGCCCTTGCAACACCCAGCCTAGAGTCCAGGTTTATGCCTAGGTGTCAGTGAGCAGAGCAGTTTAATCCTCTCTCAAATGTTGAGTTTACCGAATATTCCAGGTGTCATCTGACATCAATGACGTGTATTTTGACGAATATTTTGGGTTCTTGACAGCCTTGACTTCACTGCCCTCATCTACTTAGCATGTATGTGGAAACAATGAATAATAAAAAAAAACTTTAATCTGTCTTCTCCCTTGTAGGTGTCTATGGCTGAGAATAATGTGAAAAAACCCTGGGACCTTATTAGGAAAGGCATCCAGGAGATCCAGAGGAAGAACAAAAGTGGACTATGCTATGAGGAGCTGAACATGGTTGCCTACTCCATGTTGCTCCACCAACATGGCGAGAACCTCTACGCAGGCCTGAGGGAGGTCGTCACTGAGCACCTCGTCAACAAAGTAAATACTTATATTCTTCTCTAATGCTGCTCTTTTTATGGATTATTTAAGGAACATTAAATAATGTGACAAGACAGACAAAAAAAAAGACAGTCATTACTAATACAAGTTATGATTGATTAAAACAAATAACGATGCACCTGAAGGATGCTTGTTGTTTTTAAGTTTATACCTCTTTTATCAAGAATTAAGTTTACAAGTTGACTGTGACTGACCTATGGATATTGCATTTACTAACAATTAGGTTCCCAACATCTGATCTGATGTGTATGTATTTTCAGGTCCAGGAAGATGTCATTAACTCTTTATATAATAACTTTCTGCAAACAATGAATCAGGCCTGGAATGACCATCAAACGGCCATGGTTATGATCAGAGACATCCTCATATACATGGTAGGTATACCTCATCTTTTGTCCTACTGAGAAAATGGTAGAGTAGTTATAGATATAGATATATATATATTATAGTGATATAGATATTATAGTGGTGGAGTAATAGTCATCTCCACCACTATGCAGTGAATGTTCTGTTTTATCATCAGAAAGAATCGATTTGAAGTTATACCTTTCCCTCATGGGTTGTGTGGCATTGTAAGTGTAGTATGATATCATCTCTGTTTAAAAAATGCTTCTGTGCTGTAGAAGAGTAATCGTCATTTTGACCCGCCTTCACCGACATCGTTTTCTGGGCTTTGATTATAAGGTGCTGTCTCGTATGTGGGCCCAACAATGAGCTTCTGTTGTTGAAGGTATTTGTTTAGTTGGAAAACTGGCAGGACTAGTTGATTTACTTTAGCCCACAACCAGTCCAAAGGGTTTATGGGGTTGTGCATGTGCGAGTGAGTGAGCCTTTGAGATAGAAACTAATGTAGGTTAAACAATGGCACAGTCGGTGCAGAGACGACACAGCCCCCTAGGGGTTGTTTCGTTAAACAGTCTCCTTTTTCCTGTCCTGCTTTAACCCCGGACAGTTTGGCTTTCTGTTGTTAAACTACTGCAGACTTGCAACCTGCAGCTGTTGTTACCAGGCTGCTGACCATGAGTGCACAGCTAGACAGATACAGCAAGTGTGACTTTGTTGTTCTCACAGTTGCCTTTCTTCAGACT